ATAACCTACTCACAAACAACTAAATCTCACTTAAATACTGTAAAGCTCAAAGTACTCTCTGCAGACACAAGAGGCCAAAAAAGGACAGAACTTGCATTTACGTAGTGCCGTAGGTCCTCCGGACCTCCTACTGCATTTTTCATCCAATGGTTGTAAGGCAGGAAATGTAGCAGATAATTTGAGTGTACCAAGGTCCCGCAGTCTTAGTGCTGTTGAGAGAAGGATAAATACTCGGCAGGACACTGGGAAGAGCAGAGGGAGAACAGTGCCTTGGAATATTTTCAAACCACCCAACAAGGTTAACCAAGCTTCAGGTCAACATTTCAAATGCTCCTGGAGTGTGAGCTTGAACCTACACACTTCTGACCTCAGGGTAAGAGCGCTACACTGTAAGCCATGGCTGACAGCTGTTGTGTGAAGCGACGAGGACCCTGGAGCAACCTTGTGATGGTGTCACAGAGCTGCACATTACTGTGTATAAATAGCACAGAGTGGGCAGAGTTTTAACACTCTGACAGAACACAGTAACACTACACACCCGAACTTTAGACAGTCAACACAGCATATGAACATAAATACACAAACCTCAATGAATTATAAGGTCACAGCGTGGTATATCTAAGATTACCATGTATAGGAGTATTTAGTATTAACATATAGTAAGGAACATCACTTTGAAACCTCAGCCTGAAGACATTTCCAACTTTACCTTCTTGTCAATCAGCCTGTCTCAAACCCAAACTCATGGTGTGACATCAAACCACATGACAAAACAGCACTGCCACTTTAACAATGAGATAAATCAAGATATTATACCAGGATGTCCAGTAAGAATGAATGGCAGATTAAACTCTCCTTGTTGAGGTAGAAGAAGCACCATTAAGAAAACTGAAATAGCTGCAGAAGGCAACTGAGAAACCACAACATGTCAACAATGATGGGTAATTGGTTCAAAAGTGTGGTTTAGGTTCAGCCAATATACGAAAGGTTCCCAGAAGACAGTGTGGTACCTTGGGCCTTCAGTGCGCTGAGTAATCTCTGAAATTACAGGGACATACTTACAACTGATGTACACCTTCACATCGATGGAAAAGCAGGTACAACTACAAGCTGAAAATCTCCTGTAATACTGGATGGTGTGTTCCAGCACAGTGACGATCAAAGCAGTTAGTAACCTCTTCTTCAGAGAAAATGGCACAACATGCTGGGCAGGATAGATTCCTTTTTACTGCACTTAGATAGCATTTTCTTTAAGAAAAAAAAAGCACGGCCATAATTCTGCAAATTCAGCAGCACATTTTCTTTTCTCCTAAAAATATTCAGCTCAAATATTCACTCTGCAACATACCTATCACTGCTCCCATGACATGATATAAGTGCAATCACAAAGAGAAGCACTGGAGGGCGCAGTTTTGTAATCTTATAAGGGACCACTGTTTCAAAAAGACAACAGTGCACTTTTGCAATTATTTTAAAAATCAAATAAGCAAAGCCTGCAATCAGACAATCATTGCATAACTGATGCCGAATTTATAATTGTTCCCAGCTGTTTCCTGACTCCTGGGGTTCAGTAATATGGAAGACAAGACTACACATCTGCAATGTTCATCTCCAGTCAGCAGTGGTGAACTTCAGCACTGCAGCCTGAAGGACAGAATAGAATTACATGCTCCAGACATTGTCATTATTTTCTACCTTTTCCTTTCTCCCATCCATGGAATGCAGCCATTCCATCCTAGATTTTCATTGATTCAACATACCACAGCCCCCCACAAAAACAACTATGCCAAAGTTTTCTTCAAATGAAGCAAATCACAGGCATACATGAGGCGCGCTGTAATGACACCATGTGCTATGTTGCTGATGCATGTAGAGCAAGGTCCTGGGTTCAGTCCTCACTCTGTACTGAGTTAGCACTTATCAACATGAGTGGCAATGCTGAATACAGTTGGGGAACTAGGCAAATCCTCTGGGCTTTCAACTTTCACATCTCCAGGCTACCCTGTGGAGTTTATTTACATTTTCTTTCTGTATCTGCGTGGGTTTCCTCCGGGTGCTCCAGTTTCCTCCCACAGTCCAAAGATGTGCAGGTTAGGTGGGTTGGCTGTGCTAAATGGCCCATAGTGTCCAGGGATGTGTAGGGTGGATTAGTCATGGAAAATGCAGGGATAGGGTAGGAGAGTGTGTCTGGGTGGGAAGCTCTTCAGAGGGTTGGTGTAGACTCAATGAGCCAAATAGAGTCCCTACAGTGTGGGAGCAGACTATGAAGTGTCTGCTGTGGAGTGTAGCACAGATACACCAGAATTATACTGGGGTTTAGAAGGATAGATTACGAGGATGGAGTGCATAAACTTGGTTTATAGTCGCTTGAATTTAATAGGTTGAGGTTAATAGGTTTAATCTAATTGAAGGACATAAAGTTTGAAAAAGATTCAACAAAGTATGAAGGAAAGAATTCCTCTGATGGAAATCAAGAGCAAAGGGACATGATCTTACTTGAGAGTCAACACAGTGTGGAGCTGGAGGAACACAGCAGGCCAGACAGCATCAGAGGAGCAGGAAAGTTGACATTTCAAGTTGGGACCCTTGTTCAGAAATGGGGAGGGGGAAGGGAGCTGGGAAATAAATAGAAAGAAGGGGTGGGGCTGGGGAAGGTAGGTGGGATGGTGACAAGTAAGTGCAGGTAGGGAGTAGTGGGGATTGATCAGTGGGAAGGGAGGGGCGGATAGGTGGGAGAGAAGATGGATAGTTTCCTGCTCTGATGCTGCCTGGCCTGCTGTGTTCCTCCAGCTCCACACAGTGTTATCTCTGACTCTAGCATGTGCAGTTCTTTCTAGCCTTGATGGGCAGATCAGCCTTGATCCAACAGTCAACAGGTTTGATGGGCTGAATGGCCTCCTCTTATTCCAATATAATTCAAACTTTGGTATCATCTCTCTCCTATTTTTGGCCTACGTTGAAAGGAAATTAGAAAAGGTACTAAGTTTAACATGTTAAAACACAGTCATCAGATAAGACGCAGAACGGATGGTTCATACTGGAGAGGCAAAGTCAGTCAGTCATGAGTGAAACATTTAAAAGAAAAGATGCCTTCACAGACCAATGCTGTTTATTCAATGGACTGTGTTGTTTCTGTGCGGATTTCAAATAAAAGCCTTTTAAAAAAAACAGTGGACACGGTCACAAACTATCAAGCAGTCTTAGGAATGGATTAGGGTGAAGTAACTGCAGAAACAGGGTAAACATTTCCAACTTTAAACATCCACAAAAGATGAATAAACCTTTATACACAGCATGCTGTACTACTATGCAGGTTCAAGCTTGTTTGCAAAAAACTCTGCTTTCCTCCTATTTGCAATGATCAATTTCTCCAAGATGCAGCATTTAACTGTAGTCTGGGGTCAGTGCATCCTGTCTGAAACTGCATGACAGGGTAAAGGTGACCTTGCACAGGAGGAGGGGGTGCACAGTAGCAGATATACAGTTTCCCAAAATGTACATGACCAGTGTGAAAGAAAGTGCATTTTTCCAGCTTAAAAGAGCCACATCCTTTATGGGAAAATGTGTTTAACAAACAATAGACTTGCCAAGCACTTAGACACAATGAAGGAAATTGGAGTCTAGTCAACACTGCAAATTGTGAAAATCCCACTTGCATGTGATGCAGCACTTCAGTGTAGCCAGATTTAAACAGCTTATCAGTGGTGATACACTGAAACAACAAAAAGTCACCCTGATGCTCAATATCCCATAGTTTGTGTAACTCTCTGAATTCACCCATTTAGATTACTCCCTGACAGAACCTGACCTGCCAATAATTTGCATCATGAAGTCAGGATGTTCCCCTCAGACACAACTCAATTCAGAAAAGTAGCATCGACACTTCACTGGGTATTTTCAAATGGACTTCTAACAGAAATTGCTTGCACCTATGTTGCTGAAGCACCCATAAATAATAAAAGAAAAATACAAGCCGGCAGTGTGGCTGTGTGAAATCTTCACATGTCCCGCCACTGTTGTTGTCCCAGTAATAACTTGGGCTGTTGCAGTCTCAAGTCAAAATGATGCACAGCTGCTCCCACGACACAACACGCATTGCCGCTTGAAGATTGAGGTAGACAGGGGCATTCCCCTGCAAGCGCCAAAACATGAACACCTGCTCACTGCATGAGGGTACAAAGGTAGGTGACCAATCAGCACCAACTTAGCATTTGTCCCATCAGTCAGGTAACAACTGTTGTCAAATTACTTTAATAAGAAAAAGATCAATTTGCCTGAAATTCACAGATTACTAATCTGAGCATTATGAGAACAACATTAGATCTAAAGACCTTACGTGATAACCAACTTTCTATAAGGCAGCACACGCTCACTTGGGACAAGCATCTTGATAAAACGATGCCTGGGAAAAGGCTCTACGCTTAACTCCTTGCATGACACCTTGGCAACTTGCAAAATACGTTTGGCAAAATCCATTTGTTCTTTTAAAATTCCCTTTCTTAGTCTTAAACATTAGAGGAAAACGGGGCGAAAATTAAGTGTAATTTGTCATTCCCCTGAATGAGTGACAAAAAAATGAAGTCTGTTATGTCAAAGCAACAAAGCATCAGATAACATCATCAGCCTCCAGTTCTACTTCTGGACAATCAGCTGTCTTATATCAAGCATGCACACACCTCCGATCTGGTTGTGTGTGATGGAAGCCACTTCGTTACAATGCTGGGTTTGATCTTTTTGAGTTTTACCTGGGCACAGAGTTCTCGAGAAGTCATTCTGATGCGTGTCATTTAACCAAACATTCCTGAGTCTCTCACAAATGTCATGAAAACATTACCTGTTACAAGTTGAGACCGATTTTGGAAATCATGAAATATGGCAGCAAGATCTAACGACGTGCATTGTAAACGAACGTTAAAGGACGAGTGAACTGCAAAGTGGACAGTGCTAATCAGATGTAAATGTACACGGCCATCACACTGAAAGAGAAGTAAATGGTTTACCTTCACGTGACTGGACGGTGATAACGAATCCGTGCAGGTTCCTTGTTTGAAGGTGCTTCCAGCCAGTACCATAGCCCTGCAATCCTCACACGCCCCAACTGTCAGCTGCTCACCATCGTCCACCACGAGAGTCTCGGCCACTCGAGGGGTATGTAGGAAGACAGGAAGTCGGTTTACCGTGATGGCTTTCAGGCCAAGGTGACGCTTTCTCTCCTGCCTGCAGAAGAAGCAGACAAAGGTGTCCACTTTGTACTGTCGGGACCAGGGGCTGCTGGGATGCTGAGTGTTCTTCCCCCTCCACCACTGCTCCAGGAGGTCGTGGTAACACAGGATGCAGGCTGACGCTGGGCTGGTCGAATCTACAGGCCGGATGGTGGCTGTGCGCGGGCGGCTCGCCAGGAACGGAAAGAAGGGCTCACGTTGGCTGTGGCGGCCAGGGGGGTCAACATTCAACTGGAACTCGCGACCCTGCTCCAACTCCGCGCCACACAACAGGCAGACTGTGACCCGGGCCGCCCTTAATGCCTGCCCGGTCGCCGGGTTCAGGCGAGGGCCACAAGCGGCGCCGCTCATCCGCAGGTACCGCGTGAGGAAGGCCTGGGCAGACGAGATCAGCTCCTCCCGCCCCGTGGAGGTGTAGGCCCCCCATGTGTCCTTCAACACAGCATAGCAGTCGTCGCAGCATTGGACCTCCCCGCACTCACTCATCTGCGGGCAGTTCGGGGGACAGGGCAGGAGGCGAATGAACGGAAAGTACATGGGGCCATCCCGGGCACTGCCGCCACCACCGTCGTCGATGCTCCTCGAACACACAGCCTTGGCGTCTCTGCTACAATCCTGGCCGCACAGGTAGCACTCCCGGCCTGGGGTCTCCCTACCGCCACCGGGCTCCCTCTCGCCCGGGGGGCTCCTCAGTGCCGTACCCAAGACTCCGGTGTTCAAGGGCACCATGTACAGCCTCTGCAGCACGGGCACGTTGGCCATCTCGAAGCCCCTCCACTGCTGCATGAGCGACGCGTGGCAGAAGGTGCACACCAGGGTGCTGCCCCCGGGGCTCAGGGGGCAAGCCCCTGGCGGGGGGCGGTGGAGCCACAGGAAGGGGAAGAAGGGCCTCCGGCACGGGCCGCCCTCCTGCTTGTGGACGTGGACCCGGTGCCCGGCGTCCGGGGGCAGGCCGGCACCGCACACGAAGCAGGCCGGGCCGCCGCGCGGGGGCCCCCCCGCCGAGCCCCCGCCCTTGCCGACCGCCCCGCCCCCTCGCTCCCGGGGTCCGGGCGGCGGGGACTCGTCCCCGGAGGAGTCTCCCGCGCCCGGGGGTGCCCGGGTCTCGCCCGGGGGAGAGCGGGGTTCGGCGGTCGGCGAGGGGCGTTGACCGGTCCGGGGGGAAGGGGCGAGGGAAGAGCCCTGGCGGTGAGGGGGAGCAGGGGTCTCCAGCTCCTGGTCACTCAGGTCCTGGTCAGACAGGGAGGAGACAGAGGAGTCGAGCGCCTCCTTGCTGCCGTGCCCCACGCTGCAGGCTTCGGGCTCGTAGCTGGGGTTCCACTCCTGGGGCACAGTGCGGCTGTCGCACTGGTGCGGTCTCTTGAGCCAATACATGCGCTTGTCGACCGGGGTGCGGGACCTCTCGAAGGATTCCCACTGCTCGCCCAGGAAGCAGCGGCAGACGGAGCAGACCTGTACCCAGCCCTCAGCGCTCACCCCCCGGGCTCCGGGAGCTGGCTCCTGCTGCAGCAGGAACGGGAAATAAGGCGAGCCTCGGCAGCCCCCTGCCCGCACTTGGAGCCGCTGCTCTCGGCCGGGGCTCATGCAGCCGCCGCAGATGAAGCAGTGCAAGCGGGCGGTGCCGTTCGCCGAGCCGGCGCCGGGGCTCTCCTCCCCGGACTCGAAAGCTGCCATCAGCCGGTGTTTCCTGGAGCGCGGAGCAGCCGCTTCTTTGTCACTCATCATCCGCGCTGGGGGTGGCTTTCGGGGGGAGGGAAAGCTGGAGGTGTCTGTAAATCCCCCCCCCCTTTAAACACCACCACCCACAGCCCACTCTGCACTCAGCTTCAAGGCGGACTCTGTGTCTGTCTGTCTGACTGACTGTGCTGTCCCCCTCACACAATCTGCTTCCAAACTTTGCCCAGCTCCAGGCAGCTAGACAGCGCCATCTCCTAGCGAGCCATCTTCATGGCCCCACAATGCAACTCCTACTTCCACACACACACACACACACACACACAAAAACTTCCAGACCCCACACTTACTTCAAACTTCACACATCCACACCCCCAGGGGAACACACACACACACACACACACACACACAAAAACTTCCAGACCCCACACTTACTTCAAACTTCACACATCCACACCCCCAGGGGAACACACACACACACAGTATAGCCAGGAGCCTTGCTATCATTCTTCCCAAGGAGATGCAACCATGTCTCTGCCCTGCAGTCAGGTTGAATGGAGACATTCAGGAAGGTTTTTGATCATTATCTCAGTAGAAACAATGTGCAGGGTTACACGGGGCTGGAGAGCGTAAGGCACCCCATTAAAATTCTCACCCAAAAGGAAAAAGCTGTAAAACCACCAAATGATGTTCTGAAGAAGGGTCACCGGACCCGAAACGTTTACTCTTTTTTTCCTTCACAGATGCTGCCAGACCTGCTGAGCTTTTCCAGCAACTTTGTTTTTGCTCCAAATGATGTACACTGGTGCAACTTAGTCATAGAGATGTACAGCAAGGAACCAGACCCTTCGGTCCAACCCATCCATGCCAACCAGATATCCTAAATAAATTTAGTCCTATTTGCCAGCATTTGGCCCGTATCCCTCTAAACCCTTCCTGTTCATATACCCATCCAGATGCCTTTTAAATGTTGTAGTTGTACCAGCTTCCAACACTTCCTCTGGCAGCTGATTCCATACACGCACCACCCTCTGTGTGAAAAAGTTGCCCTTTAGGACCTTTTTAAATCTTTCCCTTCTCACGTTAAACCTATGCCCTCTAGTTTTGGACTCCCCCACCCTGGGGAAAAGACCTTGGCTATTCATTCTATCCATGCCCCTTATGATTTTATAAACTTCTACAAGGTCACCTCAGTACAGTGCTCCAGCACCTGCACTTCCAACTATTATTGTTTTTTTTTACAAAAAGTGTAATTGCTGGAGAAACTCAACAGGTCTGGCAGCATCTGTGGGCTGAAAGCAGAGTTAACATTTCTGGTCCGGTGACTGTTCATCAGCTTTTCACTGTATTCATGATCTGGGCTATGCAGACATGATGGATCGAGTGGCCTTCTTCTGCAGTCTAACAACTTTCTGTTCCACTTGACAGCACCTTAAATGAAAACAATGATATATTTCTCAGTTTCCCTCAACACCATTTACATGGTGATTTGCCACGAATCCAGAGATGTCCCCATAGCTCCTGTGACATAAACTTTCAGCCCTGCCACCTCAAACTCACCCATATGCATCACACTGTTGTTTACCTCCAGATTACTTCATAACCTGCATCCTGTTCACTTCTCATCCTCCTTAAAGATACAATATATAAACATACATAGACTGGTGTACTCGGCAGAGCCAACACAGCCATAGCCATGTCTAACCCATTTCCCACACTTCTGCCCTCTTCTCTCCCACAACAGCGATAGGGTTCTCCTTCTCCTCATTTTCCACTCACCAGCATCCACATCCAAATTATTATAAACTGCCATTTCCACCACCCTCCACATATTCCCCTCCTTCCCTTGTCAGCATTCCGCAAGGATTGTTCCGTCTGGGTCACCCTGGTCCACTCCTCCTCCACCCCCAAAACCTCCCCATGTAATCTCAGAAGGTGTAACATCCGACCATTTAGCCCCTCCCTCCTCACTATCCAAAGCCCCAGGCACACCTTCCAAGTGAAGCAGTGATTTACCTGTACTTCACTCAATCTAGTCTACTGTATTCGCCGCTCACAATGTAAAACGCAGACTGGGTGACCACATTGCAGAATGCCTATGTTCTATCTGTAAAAATGCCCCTGAGCTTCCGGTTGCCTGCCACTTCAACACATCACTGTGTTCCCTGACCCACGTCTCTGTCTTGGGCTTGCTGCAGCGCTCCAGTGACAGGCAGCCCACGCTGGAAAAAACAGCATTCCATTTTCTGCTTGGGGAGCCTGCAGCCTTCTGGACTCAATATTGAGTGGGATAGTCTCAGAGCATGAACGTCTCATTCCATCTCATTCACTACCCCATCCCATTGCCAACACATTTCAACTAGTCTCCATTATGAGCTATCTCGTATTATGTCATGGAGACAGACAACCAAATCAGATCAGCATTCCTACCTGTGTATTTGCAACATGGTAAAATTAAAATACTCAATGACCCTCAAAATCGATTGCAGTGGTTTCTAACTAAATAACCAGAACCAGGCTTAGTGAATAATCAATACTAGACACCTGGTTTGTAGCTTAAACAAAATATATAATAATTTCTTAATAATACAGTAGCTTTAGCAGAGCCAAGTGAAACAGTAAGGTAATCTAATTAATGGCTATGATTCATACCCAATAACCTTTGTTTTCAGCTCCATTCACGCAAAAAACAGTAAAAACAAACATAATTAAGGAAAACCAAAAGATGTAAATCAGAAACAAAAACAGAAGTTGCTGAAAAAGGTCAGCAGGTCTGGCAGCACCTGTGAAGAGAAATTAGAGTTAACGTTTCTGGTCCAGTGACCTTCCTCAGAACATAAAGAAAGAATAAATCGAAAGGAAAAATAATAAAACTGGCCAGATGACTTAAGCAGTTTGCTTTGATTCACAGGTACACGGGTTTGTCTCAATTTGTTTTTTGATGTTGATCATTGCCACCTTTTCGAGCTCATGCTGAGAAGTTTCAATAATACTAATAACTTTGTTTCTATTCTCTGAACTGCCAATAGTTGATAATGGGAGGTTAGATAGGGAGCTTTCAAATCTTCATGCAGCAGCATCAAAAGCCAAACTGCCTGTCTCAGAAATCCCCAATTCAACACAGTTCACAAAAAACTCTTGTACCTCCCCCTGTTTCATCATCATGTTCTCTCCCAGACTTGTTGGCACCAGTTCCCAGGTACTGACCTCATTAGTGGCCAAACATCTGCTATCTGGTTAAACAAAAGTTTTCTCCAGAGTCAAAATATCTATACAGCATTTTGCAACAAGAAACAACCTGCAATTAACTTTCAGACCTGGCCTCATGAAGAAATAACATTTAGTTTTTTTTGGAAATACAAGCTGCTGCTCACAGTCCAAAGATCACTTTCAGCTCTCAGCTGACAGTTCACAGTTCCAAACCAAAAATGATAATGAAAATAAAATAATGAAAAATTAGCAAGTGTTCTAATGCTAGCTTTTCTTCTTCCCTGATTTACTACCAACAATCTCTTTGTCTGCTTTCCCTTTTCTTTCTTTCTCTGGGCTCTGTCTCCACCTATCCACTCACCCCTTTCCCCATCAACCCCCACTCTTTGTTATCAGCAGAAATACCTCCTTTACATAGCTGCTATTAGTTTGGAAGAAAGGTCACTGGATTTGAAACATTAGCTCTGTTTTCTCTCTACAGATGCAGACCTGCTGTATTTCTCCAGCAATTTCTGTTCCTGTTTGTTTCAGAGCAGTCAGGATGTCTGTTCAAGGAGTTTTTGGTTTAAAGAAAGTGTTGCTACTGGCATTAAAACACTTATCCCTCTGAAAATCTTCAACAAAATTGCCTGAAATTGAAACCCCTCTGTCCAGATGCTGCTTCAGAAATTTCCCTCCCCACCACCCATGCATTTTGATTATTAAATTGTGGAGTGGAATGCAAAATGCAATTTAAGTAGAAAAACTGAATTGATTATGCTTTACCACTTCCCTTCTTGTTTGATATGCAAATAATTTTATCAGTATAAACAAAGCTCCAACAAGCCTTCACTTTTTGATTGAACTCCTTGCTTAGTTTATTCCAGTGCCTAGACGTGAGATTTATTTAGCACAACATTGAGAATTAAGTGTCAGGTATTCATTAGTTCATCCAACCTAAGTTTCCAAAAATATCTGGACTTTGGATAACCTGCATTTCAACAACAGAACTACATATAAATGATGATTTAACTTGCATTTAAATATCACCTTCTACAACTGCAAGGCAGAATCAATTATTTCTGAAATCTAGTAATGTTTTTAGGGAACCTGACAGCTGATTTGTGCCCATAGTAATATTCTACAAACAGCAATGAGATTAGATGTACAGTTTTGACTATATTGGCTATAGTACAAATGTTACCCAGGACAACATAGGGAATCTTTACTGTTCCTTTTAAAAGTGACACAAGGTATTAAATGTTCACAAAATTGTCAAGTCTTAATCCTGTAGCTTTGGTTTTGTAAAAGGCAGTTTTATGCCCCTTTGGATTGAACAGATCAACCTAAAAAACAACACTCCCAGCAATGCAGCACCTCCTTGGTGCCATTACAAAGTGATAATCTAAATGACATGCTCAGGTTCCAGGGATGAAGCTTTCACCAGAAAATTCTGAATTCAACACAAGGCCAAGCTGCCAACACATCTAAGTAAAGTTATGAATGTAATTGGTGTTTGTGATTGGGAAGGAAAGTTGATAATTTGAGCTATCCATGAAAAGGAATGAATAAGTGAATGAATGAATGATTTTATTGTCACGTGTATTTGGGAAAATACAGTGAAAAGTGTTTTGTCGTTACAGTCTGGTGCCAGTTGGGATTACAAAATGAATAGAAAGAAATTACTTAAATAGAGCTTCATCTTCTGTTCAATTGACAAAAAAGGCAGAAAAGTAAGAAATAATGTTCAATATTACAGTCCTTCTTGTCAAGCACATCTCTGGGTTTCTGTAAGGTGTTCCAGTCTCCAAGCCACAATGAGACCCCTTTCCGGGTCTTGCTGATGCCCCAGGAGTACCCAGCTCTGCTGCCATCACCTCGCCAACATCGCTAGAGGTTACCGATCTGGGCCAGCCATGCAGCCAAAGCTGCAGCTGCCATCTCACTGACATCTCCCTGCTCTGGGTTCACAGTAACCATGAACCACCACTGCAGCCCCATCTCGCTGCCTTCAC